GTTTTCACCATTTTTCTATTTATGCAAACTGATACATTGCCATATAGTCAGCAGATTCTCTATAATTAAGTTCTAGAATTGCCTTGAGAATGTTTTAATCCAGTAGACCTATGACTATCATATGGGCCTGCTCACAGCTTCCCTTAATCCTTTGATCCTTCATTCCAATCTCTGATTGAATTATTTGAAATTCACTTTCTATAGGGTGGTGAAAGCTCATGGACCACATCGAGCTCTTTTGGTGCTTGATCATTCTTCCTTTCTCTAGCTGTGTGTGTTCACATTGGGCAGTTTCTTGAATATTTGTTGTTATGGTTTTTTACATTTGCTACTTGCTTTGATGATTGTTTGCATGGCAATGAATTGGTGCAGTCATCAATGCTTAACGTTGCCATGATAGTGCCATTTGGGCTTTGATTAAGTAAATCATTTTCTCAAAAAGTTGTTATTTTTTGTATTTCTTCGTTTGGTTTCATTTATGGGATTATAACCAAGCAAGCAAAAATAAGACGTGTGTCTTTTATCTTACGTTAGTAATTTGAACTAGATTGTGTGTTTGAAATGAATTCCAAGAGAATGTGATTTTTTTATGGCTTGGTTTTTCTTTTTAGAAAATGTGGATTTCCAGTTTGGTCTGTACATGGGTTTAAAAATGATCAAGTGATATGGGTTGCGACTTTGTAATGTGGGATTGGAAAAAGTTTTGTAATATGGTTGCATTTGGTTCGTTATTTTGATTGAGTTGGAAAATTATGTGCTGGTTATGGATTAAATTGCATTTCCTTATCTGGTTGTGTTAGACCTCGACAATTTTCTGATTCCTTTGAAATGGTGCTCCCTGTAAATTGCATTTCCTTAACTATTGTTTGATTTGTTGTATTGGTTTTTCTTTTGGACCTTAATGACAGTGCCTTTCAGAATTACATTTGGATTTTAGGCTCCATAATGTTGGCCGAGTATGTTGGTCTAATTGAGGTTCTTTGTGGGACCATGACATGTTTGCGGAGCATGCCGCAGGTTCTGTTTCAGTTGTTGCTAATAGAATTGGGGGCTTGAATTCTGCTGTATGCGATAGAGTGTTCAACTCTTTTTGTTTTCACTTTTAAATGAATCTCTTGAAGATTTGTTCTAGTGACAATGATGTCATCTATGTGAATTTCACCGAAGGTTAGCATATTTTGAGTTTCATTTTTAATTGTTTCTTTATTGCATTTTTGGATTTTTATTGTTGCATTATGATTCAGTTCAAGTGTTTAGAAAAGGTATGATTCAGTTACATACACTCTTCTCTATATTGGAGATAAGTGTTCAAGTTTTACATATCACATTGGTCTTTTATGTCATATGCATATCTGGTGGACATGAATTTATTTGTGGTCAACTTTTGTTATTGATTTGATTCTTAAACTATTTTTTTTTTCGAATTTGGTGTTGGTGGTTATAGATATGTTTGGGATTTTGGATTTGGGTGGCGGTATGGTTGTTTTGGTCGATGTGGGCTACGAAGACGAAAAGTTAAAATGTTCGATGTGGTTAGAGATCCTTTTCTTATCTCTAACACATGGGTTCTTTGATTTTTTTGTGTTTATCATTTGTTGACAGCTGTTTGTGAGCCCAAAGTTGAGTTGGTAAATTTTTCTCTTTTTCCAAATTGTTGATTCATGCGATCAAACGTATAGATCAAAATCGTAATTGGTACATATATTCTTTCGGTTGATTTGTTGTCATGGATTGAATTTGATATATATTTGGGTTTATGGATATGTGGGCAAACAGTATTTTTAGAATTTTTTTTGGTTGTGCTTTCAAGCGTATTTCTCAAATTAATTGTGCTTTTTGTTTACTATCTCTTAGCTCTTTATTACCATGTTTGGTGCTACTGAACATATATTTATAGTTTTATTTTAATCACAGTCCAAATTACATAAGCTTTGGATGTCGTGGAGCAAAGTACATTTTTTCCATTTAAAATTAGTAGGTGTCCAAGAAGGGATTAAACACCATTACTTTGAAGGGGTATTTGTGATGTGCTTGGGCTAAAGGGTTACTAATGTGATCACTTGAGAGGCTTTTTCTTTTAATAAGAAGTGAGGCTACTTTAAAGATGCGAAAACTTGACTTAATATACGAATACGGAATTTGTTAATTTTGTTGTTGCGACCTTTACGTTTGATTTTAGTTAAAGTAACTTAGTATTTGTCGTACAATTTTGTTATTTAAAGTAACTTAATACTAAATTGGATAACTCCTCCTTCGGCAACTCTCAATGTGGTGTTGTTTTAGGTGATGACACATTTTTGGGAAAAATTATTTAATTAGTTAAGAATTTGATTACGCTGGTGTTGATAGTGTGCAAAATGCTATTTTGAGGGGAAGTAAGCTTAATGGGGACAGGATTTTGAGGGGAAGTAAGCTTCCTTTCAATTCATTTGATTACTGTTGAAAGAAACTATTTGAAGATATTTTCTATTTGACTTGCATTATTTTCTTTAGATTTATGAATCTAGATTAAAGTTTATTCATTTGTATATCAAAATGGAGAATTTCTTGTATTACGGTGCTTTCAGGCATGGGTCCGTCGCTAATATTACTATAGATTGCTTCCATCTCTTGACTAGAGTTATACAAAATATGTAAATTTTTTGGTCACATTGATATCGATGTGGATCGTACCGAACAAAGTTCTCTGGAGGATAGTAAACATCAGTGGTTTCTCTAGTATTTTCAATTAAAAGTTTTACCATTTTTGATCTATTATCTGTAATCACAATATAGCAAACCTTAGATCAAGATATAACCAAATTTAAACGGTGGAGATGTTTTATGATTATAACCACACCATGTCACAAAGGAGAAGAAGTATGAGGGACCATAGAGAAACACTAAGATCACGTGACAAGTTTATAATAAAAAATCGTTTATAATCTGGACGCTGTCTGCTTGAGGGACCATATAGAAATACTAGTCATAACCAGTGTCTGAAGACATGATAAAACAAAAAAAATTGAGCCCCAAAAAATCAATCTCATTATATTAAATATTAATTTTTCTTTCCTTCATTTTTTTGATTGCATCATTCAAAATTTATTTTTACCCATTATTTTCTTAAAAATATTGACAAAATTTTCTCAAAATACGTAATTTGATAAAATTTTCTCAACATATATATGCTATTGTGTTTGGATAATATCAGAAATAAAAATTATATTAAACTATAAATTAATCAAATATTAAATGATTGAACATGTGATAGAAATTGATTACGTGATGATTTTGGGGGAGAAAATGTATAGGGGATAAAATTTAATTTCATATGTGTTTTATTATATAGATATTCAATATTTTAGGGACTAAAATGATGTAATTGAAATATTGAGGACTAAAATGAAACAAATTCTATATTTTAGAGACTTTTAGTGCAATTAACCCCGAAAGAAATGAGGTTAGGAGTTTGTTAAATAGAGTTGACGGTGAAATCCTGTTGCAATTGTTTCAGTTAGTCTTCATTGAATGGACTTGAATTTACAAGTAATATGATACTTATAGCTTGTCACAACATTTATACCCGGGGTACCTGTGATAAATAAATGCTGGGACCCAATAAATAAGTAGTGAATCCCAATAAATATTGGGACCTGCAGTAAAATCAATAGTTGAGATTATTAAGTCTATTTTTTAAATTCATGTAGCATTACTCTTTACATAATAGAATAATTCATTGTACATGTAGTTGGGGCCATGCCATTGCTATGAGTATTAATGGGATCTCCTTCATGAAAATCCGGGCTTCATGATAAACGTTTGGTGTAACGAAATGCATAACACAAATGTAAAAGGACCAGGGAGAAAGTGAGTGAGAGAAGACACGTATTCAGAATTTGCTTTGATGTTTTGAATGACCAGGAATCTGCCAGGCTCTATGTGAAGTAATGAAGTGCAAACTGCAGCGTATACCTTTCGGCTACCTGGGAGGATTGTAGTGAAGCTGGTAATTTGGGGGTACATAGCCTTTGCTATTATCAGAATTGGTGAGCAAGTGATGGATCTTGTTCTGTTTCTGTGCATCCCTTTCATAGTTTGGTTATTCAAAGTTCTTCGATCGATTTTTGAGAGTGACTGCTACAATAATGGTACAAGCACTTGTCTTCTGGCTATTGGTATCTTATTATCCCCGCAATTTTATGTAGGTCAGGAACAAAACAGTCTGTTCATCATTGCAATAAGTTCCACTGGATGTGATCAAAATAACACTGAAACTCATTGCTGTCTCTTAGCTATCGCTTGGCAGGTTTGTGCAACCTTGCTGGAAGATGCAAGGTCGATGAAAGTTTGCCTATGACTTTGTTGTTGGAGGACAATGTGGTGCAATAACTTGTGTTGCTGCTTTGCAAGAATGACAATTAAATGTACTTTGAGAACCATGATTTGATCAGGGTAGCTCTCAATGGGCATATAGGCGTCCCAACTACAGTCAAAGATTTCATATATTACTTAGTTCACCATAGCACAAGTTGGGTTTCGGTCTGAGTAGATTGCGCTTCAATACTAGTCTGATCCATTTATCATGTGATTGAAGGTCTTTGATACATATATCTAATAATAATTTGAATCTGTGAATCCGTTAGCTTGACAAATAGTATTTGGATATAAATCAATACATAAGTACACCTCATAATAGACTAAGGAAGATCAACAGCTCTATATAGTACGATAGTAAATTCTTCTACACCACATTAGTTGTTGCATTGCTTGTCTAATTCTTCTGATTTTTTTTTTGTCATCACATTTCTATTTACACATCTATAATCTCTTTCAATGACAATGAACAAATAATAGTTCCAAGGATCACAAAAGAAAAATAAAAAATTGTGAAGTCACTCGGTAGCTAAACAAGGCACAATAAAATTACAAACTTCATCGGGCAAATGTACAAAATCCTTGTGTAGTTCTCAAGTAACAATCGCTAAACTCAACTTGATACTATTCAATTATTACAACAGGAAGTTGGCAACTTACCACAAAGCAAAACAAATGAAGTTGGTAGTCACATGCCCCTGTATAATTACAAAGAGAAATAGCACTCTAGACAATAATATCACACGAGAATAGAAAATGTAAAGAGAAAAAACAATGACAAGAAAACATTTAACAAGCAGTTTTCAAATCGAACCCATCTGTGTTTGGCACTTAAGAAAGTTCCTCCTTACAACAAGCCTGCCTCACCACAATCTGTGAACACCAACACAAATTAGCAATTTAGCGGCATACTGAATGACAGTTGACCACATAGCAAATGAGTATTAGTTTACTTTCAGCTGGGTAAAGATTACGCTTGTGAATTAGGACCCTAGTTTTACATTGCCTCTTCTACTATTGATTTTTTTCACGTTGAACCTTCAATTATTTCTAGTTTCAGAAGGGAAAAAAAAAAACCTTTAACTGCTTGAATTTGTTTCACGTAGTCCCAAAACCAAAGGTTCGGGGTAGGATCATGATTGGAAAAATGAGACAGCTAAATGGAGCTTGAATCAATAAGACAGACCAGANCAATCTGTGAACACCAACACAAATTAGCAATTTAGCGGCATACTGAATGACAGTTGATCACATAGCAAATGAGTATTAGTTTACTTTCAGCTGGGTAAAGATTACGCTTGTGAATTATGACCCTAGTTTTACATTGCCTCTTCTACTATTGATTTTTTTCACGTTGAACCTTCAATTATTTCTAGTTTCAGAAGGAAAAAAAAAAAACCTTTAACTGCTTGAATTTGTTTCATGTAGTCCCAAAGCCAAAGGTTCGGGGTAGGATCATGATTGGAAAAATGAGACAGCTAAATGGAGCTTGAATCAATAAGACAGACCAGCNCACAATATAGCAAACCTTAGATCAAGATATAACCAAATTTAAACGGTGGAGATGTTTTATGATTATAACCACACCATGTCACAAAGGAGAAGAAGTATGAGGGACCATAGAGAAACACTAAGATCACGTGACAAGTTTATAATAAAAAATCGTTTATAATCTGGACGCTGTCTGCTTGAGGGACCATATAGAAATACTAGTCATAACCAGTGTCTGAAGACATGATAAAACAAAAAAAATTGAGCCCCAAAAAATCAATCTCATTATATTAAATATTAATTTTTCTTTCCTTCATTTTTTTGATTGCATCATTCAAGATTTATTTTTACCCATTATTTTCTTAAAAATATTGACAAAATTTTCTCAAAATACGTAATTTGATAAAATTTTCTCAACATATATATGCTATTGTGTTTGGATAATATCAGAAATAAAAATTATATTAAACTATAAATTAATCAAATATTAAATGATTGAACATGTGATAGAAATTGATTACGTGATGATTTTGGGGGAGAAAATGTATAGGGGATAAAATTTAATTTCATATGTGTTTTATTATATAGATATTCAATATTTTAGGGACTAAAATGATGTAATTGAAATATTGAGGACTAAAATGAAACAAATTCTATATTTTAGAGACTTTTAGTGCAATTAACCCCGAAAGAAATGAGGTTAGGAGTTTGTTAAATAGAGTTGACGGTGAAATCCTGTTGCAATTGTTTCAGTTAGTCTTCATTGAATGGACTTGAATTTACAAGTAATATGATACTTATAGCTTGTCACAACATTTATACCCGGGGTACCTGTGATAAATAAATGCTGGGACCCAATAAATAAGTAGTGAATCCCAATAAATATTGGGACCTGCAGTAAAATCAATAGTTGAGATTATTAAGTCTATTTTTTAAATTCATGTAGNTGAAAGAAACTATTTGAAGATATTTTCTATTTGACTTGCATTATTTTCTTTAGATTTGTGAATCTAGATTAAAGTTTATTCATTTGTGTATCAAAATGGAGAATTTCTTGTATTACGGTGCTTTCAGGCATGGGTCCGTCGCTAATATTACTATAGATCGCTTCCATCTCTTGACCAGAGTTATACAAAATATGTAAATTTTTTGGTCACATTGATATCGATGTGGATCGTACCGAACAAAGTTCTCTATGGAGGATAGTAAACCNTGGAAGATGCTAGGTTGATGAAAGTTTGTCTCAGACTTTGTTGTTGGAGGACAATGTGATGCAATAGCTTGTGTTGATGCTTTGCAAACGACAATTAAATGTACTTTGAGAACCATGAGTTGATCAGGGAAGCTCTCGATGGGCATATAGGCGTCCTAACTACAGTCACAAAATGCTATATTCGGCTTGATAAGATTTCGTTCACTGTACCACAAGTTGGGGTTTGGTCTGANTGGTGTAACGAAATGCATAACACAAATGTAAAAGGACCAGGGAGAAAGTGAGTGAGAGAAGACACGTATTCAGAATTTGCTTTGNTGGAAGATGCTAGGTTGATGAAAGTTTGTCTCAGACTTTGTTGTTGGAGGACAATGTTATGCAATAGCTTGTGTTGATGCTTTGCAAACGACAATTAAATGTACTTTGAGAACCATGAGTTGATCAGGGAAGCTCTCGATGGTCATATAGGCGTCCTAACTACAGTCACAAAATGCTATATTCGGCTTGATAAGATTTCGTTCACTGTACCACAAGTTGGGTTTTGGTCTGTATAGATTGTGTTTCAATGCCAATCTGATCCATTTATTAGCATGTGATTGAAGGTTTTTGATGCATATATCTAATAATAATTTGAATATAAATCAATATAATATGCTGACAATTTGACCCAATAAGTTTTTGTTGTTCAGTTAGATAAGTACACCAACACTTAGACTAAGGAAGTTTAACAGCTCTATATTTGCACAATAGTAAATTCTTCTACACCACATTAGTTGCCACATTGCTTGTCTAATTATGCTCATTTTTTTGTGGTCACATCTCTATTTACACATTTATAACCTCTTTCAATGACAGTGAATAAATAATAGTTCCATAGATCATCAAAAAAAATAAAATAAAATTGTGAAGTTACACAATAGCTAAACAAGGCACTGTAAAATTACAATCTTCATTGGGCATATGTGCAAAATCCTTCGTAGTTCTCAAGTAACTAAACTCAACTTGATACTATTGAAGTATTATAAGAAGAAGTTGGCAACTTACCACAAAGCAAAACAAATCAAGTTGGCAGTTACATGCCCCTGTATAATTACAAAGAGGAATATAAAGCACTCTAGACAATAGTATCACACAGGAGAATAGAAAAAAAAATGACAAGCAAACTTTAACAAGCACTTTTCAAATCGAACTCACCTGTGGTTGGCATTTAAGAAAGTTGTCACTTCCAACAGGCTTCATCACTATCTGTAAACACCAATACAAATAAGGAATTTAGCGGCATACTGAATGATAGTTGCTACATATCAAAATGAGTATTAGTTTATTTTCAATTGGATAGATTACACTTGTAAATTAGGACCCTAGTTTCACATTGTCTCTTCTACTATTAATTTTTTTCACATTGAACCTTTAATTCCTTCCATTTCAGAAGGAAAAAAAAAACCTTTAATTGCTTGAATTTGTTTCACATAGTCCCAAAGCCAAAGGTTCGTTTTGTTTCAGATGGAAAATGCATACAAGCCAATGAATTTTGTAGTAATGTGTAACTAATTAACAGTAGGCAGGGGGAAAGGGGGTGGTAATAAATGGTCATGCAATTTAGTCATTTTCCATCCGTAAGAGGTAGCAAATGAGACTTGGGCAATAGTGTTGGGTGCTAACTGTAAGTTTCCTTTTTAAGACTTGAACCTGATTAAAACAAAGGCGGAATTGCACTCTACACCCTAAAAAATTTAAGATTTTTCACTTTGTGCAATTAAATATTAGATTTCTCATATTATACCCTTAAATAGTAGATTTTCCACATTGTACTCAATGTATTAAAAGTGTTGCAAGGTGACCATCTCTAAGCTTCCATTGCTTATTATGTCAAAAATCACCTCAATAACATTGATGAATTAGTAACAGAAGCTACTAGAAGGACCACATTGCAATGTTTTTAATATATTCAGGGTACAATGTGAAGAATATAATGTTTGATAGTACAAAGTGAGAATTTATAAATATTTAAGGGTGTAAAGTAAAATTCCCACAAAGCAAATTGAATACAGAGCCAAGCAGATTAAAAAGGAAAGAAATGGAACCTGCGAGAACCAATCTGAACGCAGGGGATGTGAGAAATCTTGGGCCAATCTTCTCCATTTTCCTTGGCATACCGTCCTTCAAGAAGTGGGCAACTCAGTATTCTCAGGATCAAAAGTGTGTCAAGTATCCTTTCGTTCGGCAAGGAACCCAACTCGGGGCAATACAGGATTTCCAAATGCTCAAGAGAGGTTAGGTTTTGAAGCCCCTCAGAGAGAGACTCAAACTTAGGGCAATTGATGATTCTCAGATGCTCAAGAGAGGTCAAGTTTCGAAGCCCCTTAGAGAGAGACTCGAGATTTGAGAATTCACCAATACAAAGGAATTTTAGAGTAGCAGGAAGAAAACACGACTCCGGAAAGGAAAGTAGCTCTGGATATACATCATCCATGGTGAAACTCCTAAGAGAGGAGAGTCTTTGCAGGCCCCACTCTGATAGAGACTTTAGTTCTCCGGAATTGCGGATATATAGCTCTTCTAGGTTGGGGGGCAAATTCTGGTGAGGAAAGGACTCGAGCCTTTTACAATTAACTATACTGAGTGATTTAAGGAATGTGAGGCTTTGACTCTGGCTAGGAAAACAAAAGGGATTTTCAAACCCATAGATGTGAAGACTTACTAAGTTGGGAGTGTGCAAACCATTCCCTGAAAGCGAGTGGGGGATTTGATAGTTCAACCGACATGTAAATTCCTGCCTGTATACTTCAAAAGACTCTAAAATGGGCCAATTACTGATCCTATTGCTTCCTGACATGATGCTCTGTTCGACCGTCTCATTAACCCACTGCAAATTACGACAATTGTTAATGCTAACTGACTTAAGGGTGGAGAGAAGAGTGTCTATTGGGAAAGAACTTAGAGAGGAGCAATTAATGAGGATCAAGTGTTCAAGACAAGCGATGCAATTAGGGATGGACTCCAGAGAATCACAAGCTTGAACATCAAGAATACTAATCGTGGGCGGGAGACTGTCCTCTGGAAAAGAGAGAAGCTTTGGGCAATAAAAGATACACAACTGCTCGAGAGATGTAAGGCTTTTCAGGTCATAAGGCAGTCTCTCCAGATTTTCACAAGAACTTACAACCAAACAGGAAAGGTTTTTTGGTGCAAGCCCATTCTGCCACAAAGTCACCAACGAGGCACATTTTGTAATTGCAAGAACTTCAAGTGACACCAACACATTCATGAACTCCTTCGGCAGATGAGTTAGACCCGACATATTCTCAATATTCAATGTGGTTAATAAGGGTAATTCGATAAAACTTTTCAACACAGCCTCATCACAATTTTTTATCTCAATATTCAATGTGGTTAATAAGGGTAATTCGATAAAACTTTTCAACACAGCCTCATCACAATTTTTTATCTCTAACTCGCAAAGAGAGAGAAGTCTTAAAAGTGGAACACTCACCAGTTTAGGACAATTGCATATAATAAGCTCACGAAGGCGAGGAAAAAGTCCTGTAAAGTCAACACCATTCGAACAAGACCATTCCTCCCATTTTAGCATCTCGCAAAACGATAGAATCTCGAGTGATGGAAATGGAATCTCCAAAGTGTTACCCCCACAGTTGAACTCTGCACCCACACTTCTTACAGAATCCATTTCTTCTATGTATAGTTCTTTGAGAAAGGGTAGCTGGCCAAGTGGTGGTAAAAACTCGCATTTTGTACAACCTCGAAGACTAATATACACTGTTTTAGAGAATGATGGATCCCCAATCCAACTAGGAAATGTGATGCCCCTGTAGAACTCAATTGTCAGGCTTTTTAATTCTCTATGCGGCCGTAGCATTTCAAGTACACTAACTTGCAGCCCATCATTTTGAGAATCTTCAATGTCACTATTCCATTTAAATTCCAACTCATTAATATCCTGCTTACGAATTAAATTAGCCGCCTCTGCATCCTGCACGTTCATAACATTTTCTAACCCTGCAATGGAAAGCATCCCTCTCAGAAACAATAGCTTGTTCAAATCTCCGAGTCCAAATCCACTATTTTTGCCAACAAGAATCTTTGGCAATGTTTGCAAACATTTCAATCTATCGATCCCTGAGGGCATCTCTTCTAATTTTGGAGTATCTCGAATGTCAAGATGGCGCAAGTTCACCAAATTTTCAATGTTGGTGGGCAATTTACAGAGGGCGCGACAACCTTTTAATAATAATGTCTGTAAATTGTAGAGAGTACTCACTGATTCAGGCAACCATTCAATCAGTGTCTCGGATAAATTCAGATACCGAAAATGTTTCAAATCCCCCATCACTTTGGGTAGCTCACTTATTTTGTACCCACTCAAAGACAATACTCTTAAGCACCGCAATTTTGGTAGTAGGTTGACCAAAATACTATTGCTTAAATAGAAGTCTTCCGAATCATAAGTTGGCAGAGGTAAGAAAGTCCGCAAACCCCGAAGTTCATGAAATGCCTTAAATCTTTTATAGACCTCATATTTGTGGCGAATGAATGACGAGTGACGAGCTTTCTCAGAAATCTTACACCGTTCATTGCCCTCCATATTATCATCCAACCTAAAGCATGTTTCTCCCGCAAGATATTGAGCTAGATCATTCAAAAGGTCATGCATCACAAATTTTGATTCCGTACCACCGGAACGTTGGAAGAAGGACCTTGAAAATAGCTCCATGAAACAGCTGCCACCAAACACTTCCATTTCTTCTGATTGCTGCAGAAATCCTTCCGCCATCCATAACAAAACTAGCTCGTCCTTGTCAAACACATAGTCTTTCGGAAATATAGCACAATATACAAACAATTGCTTCAAGTCAGAAGGGAGATGATGATAGCTTAATCTCAGAGCTGGAAGGATGCCCCTATTGTGCTCGGATAACTCCCAGATTTTGCTATTCAGTACAGCTTTCCATTCATCTGGACTATGTATATTATGCAGAAGGCCTCCTAGTGTCTTCGCTGCCAAAGGCAAACGTCCACACTTTTTGACTATATCCTTGCCAATTGGTTCCAAATTTGGATGGTCATCAAAAATTTTTGTACTCAACGCATGTTGAGCCAACAAAGACAAACAATCGTCTTCTGCCAAAACATTCAGAGGGTAAGGAGGAACAGAACCCATGGTACGTGCAACACGGTCACTCCGAGTCGTAACAATAATTTTACTTCCAGGTAGCCCAACTAGAAAAGGAGGACGGAGGCGATCCCAATCTTCGTATATGTCGTTCCAAACATCATCCAAAACAATAAGAAATTTTCTTCGAGAAAGTTCCTCTTTGAGACTGACTTGCAACCTGTTGAGGTTGCTGAAGTTACAACTTCCCTTGGTCACTTCCTCATGAATAATTTTGGTTATCCTGAATACATCGAACTCTTCAGAAACACACACCCATGCTTTCGTATCAAAGAAATTCTTAACCTTCTCATCATTGTAGACAAGTTGAACAAGAGTGGTCTTGCCCACACCACCCATACCAACTATTGGAATGACGCGTGCTTCATCATTATTCGATTCATCCTTGAGCACCAATTCAAGTATTTCTTGTTTTTCCTTTTCCCGACCATGGACATGGGATTCAACCACCAAGGAACTTGTTTCCAATGATCTCTCTCTGCTTTTGCATGACCCTGCTTCCGGAGTAGCTCTCAAACTCAGAACACCACTTAGTTGTGCAATGTCGTCTAATCTGACAGCGATCTCCTTAATCTTGGGCTCCAACTTGAATTTGAGCTCAATAGATCTGGGGAAATCAGTCAAAGAAGTAGGGAGGAAGTTCAGTACCTTCACCTTGCTTGTGGCTGCTGCTTCGGTCTCTGTCTTCAATTTATGGGCCAAAGCTTCTGTCTCGACCTCGTCCACAAGATCATCCACATCGTAAGCCAGATCCCTCAGATCCTCCAGCCACAGATTCACAGTTTTTTCACTTATTTGCTTAGTCTCTGCATCGTTGAGCAACACTTCAATAGTCCTAAGCACTTTGCCCAATTTCATCACCTGGGTATGAACTCCCACGTTGCGAGCAAAGCTCAACAGCTCGCGAGAGGCCAGTCTCTCGAATAGCACAGCTAAAAATGCACCCAGAAAAACTTCTACAATAGCCATTTTGTTTTCGGTTTTGGGAGATGGAGCGGGAACAAGAAGAGGAAACGGCGTGCACTTAATCGGTAGACTTGAAAATAAATTGATTAAAAGTTACCAATATCTTAGTCAATTTTTGGACATCCGTGATGGTCCTAGGCGCCCGATATTTTGGATCGCTTATATCTGTTCGAAGTTCATCTCGATTCTCCGATGAATAATCAAATATCTCAAAAAATTTTTTGAGCTCACCCAAAAATGCATTTCGAGACATTTAGTTTTATGTCATATTTTCGGAGGATGACGAATGTTGTCCCGAGATCATAAAGATGGTCGACACTCTCTTTACTTTTGACCAGCATGTTATCAATGTACACCTCCATAGTTTTGCCGAGCTGGTCTTTGAAAATTTTATTTATCAAACATTGGTAAGTCGTTCCAGCATTCTTCAACCCAAAGGCATAACCGTGTAACAGTAGATCCCCGGAACGTAATGAAAGTTATTTTCTCTTGATTTGATTCATGTAAGGGAATTTGGTGATATCCCGCTTGAGCATTCATAAAAGTGATTCGTTTGTGGCCGGTTGTTGTGTCTACCAGCTGATCAACCTTGGGCAAAGGGTACTCGTCCTGAGGACATACTTTGTTCAGGTCCGTGAAATCCACGCAAACTCGTCATTTCCTCTATTTCTTCTTGGCGCACACAGTGTTTGATAACCACTGAGGGAACTGTACCTCCTTGATGGAACCTGCACCTAGCAACTTATCCACCTCTTCATCCACAGCCTTTGCATGATGAGGTGCCGTTCTTCAGGCCTTCTACCTAACGGGTTTGAATGAGGGATTCACATGGAGCCGATGAGTCATCACCTCGGCGCTTATCCCCGTCATTTCGGCTTGGGTCCATGCAAAGACGTCAGCATTGTGGCGTAGGAATGAGGCCATATCATTTTTCTCTGCGTCGCTGAGTGACTCCCCTGTCAAAAAGTACTTCTCACCGTTATCTGGACCCAGGAGGATCTTAACCAAGTCCTCCGTAGACCGGTCAGCTAGTTCTGTAATGGGCTCGTCCACTCCCGGACGACCGCTCTGTGATTGCTATTTGACAACCACTGCATCGGGATCACGTTCCTGACTTTGACCACTAACTCCAGTTTTCACCGCGGCATAGAAACAGCTCTTCGCCGATGCCTGATCACCCTGTACTTCTATTATACCCTGCGATGTTGGGAACTATATCTGTTGATGATAGGATGAGTGGATCGCCTTTATCGCATGCAACTACGATCTCCCCATAATAGCGTTGTACGGGGAGTCGGAGTCTACCACCACAAATTTCACTGAGGTGGTCACCACCTCTGCACATACCATGAGGGTGATCTTTCCAAGAGGCAGGGCGCTGGAACCATTGAAGCCGATGAGGGGGTCTTTACAGGTTCCAAGTCCCCCTACGAGAATCCCATTTTGCGAAAGAGGTGATCATACATCACCTCGGAAGAACTGTCTGAGTCCACCAAGATCCTTTTGACATCGAACTTTTCGACCCGTAAAGTGATCACCAATGCATCCTCGTGGGGAAGGACCACCCCACCGAAGTCAGCATTGAAAAACTAGATAACCCTGGCACTACTTCGTGGCTTTTTGGGCGGTCGCTTCTCACCCCTTTCTTCCACCCTGATTGCTTGAGAGACCTTCTGTAACTCGGTGCAAAGAGAGTTGTACGTAGGCCTTTCCACGGTGCAGGCATGAATAACATCAATCACAGGCGCCACCTCAGTTGATACCTCGGCTCGCTTCCTCACCGATCTTCCGGGAGGACCCCTATCGATGAACTCCCTGAGGTGTCCGTCTTGCACCAATTGTTCGAGGAAGGATTTATAAATCTTGCAATCCTCCGTCAAATGACATACATCTTTATGATACGAACAACGAAAGACAGCATTCTTTGTCAATGGGTCTTCTATCATCCTCGGGGGCCATATGAAGTAAGATTTATTTTTAATCTTGGGGAGTATCCTGTAAATGGGCTCTTTAAAAACCGTGTTCACCCCTAGAAAGACAAGCGAGTAGGGGGTGGAACAGGCCCTCCCTTTCGGGCTGACTGCTCCCTCTCTCTTTTTCTCGGCATCGGGACCCTGCTCTTGGGCAGGTTGGATTCTTCCTCCACTCGGACATATTTGTTAATCCGAGCCATCAAGTCTTTCATGTCCGCCAGAGCCTTCTTAGTTAGTGATTTGTACAAATCAGTGTCTCGGGACAGCCCCAGCCTAAACGACGTTGCGGCCAATGCCTCCAAACATGCCTCCACCTCGTTGACCTCGTCCCAATACCGGACGGCATATTGTCGAAGTGTCTCTCCTCCTTTCTGCCTAAGTGTCAACAGAGTGCCGATGTCCTTCGATTTCTTATTGCTGGTGATAAATTGAGCTATGAAGAGCTCCATCAATTTTTTTCAGGACCTGACGCTCTCAGGAGCCAGGTTCTCATACCATCTCATGTCTGTGTCCCCTAGGCTCATGGGAAAAACTCGGCACAACACCCTTTGATCAGTATCGTAGATTAACATCAATTGTTTGTATTGCCGCAAGTGACTCTCGGGATCGGTCTTCCCATCGTAGATTTTGAATCGTGGGACAGTAAACTTCTTCGGCATTTCGGCTTCCTTGATAGTCCGAATGAATGGTGACATGACTTTGTCGGCATAGACCTCGGGCTTAGGGTTGCGATAAGCGGTAGGGTGGACCCTAGGATCCCCTCTTGGCCTTTCTTCTCGAGGCCTCTTAGGTGTGGACTCTGCTTGTGATTCGGTAGCTCTGATGTCCTCAGGTATCCTTCGTCGGAGGTCCCACTGAGACAGACTCGCCTTTTAGCCCGATTCTGAATTCCTCTTGGAGGCCGAGAACCCATCTTGGCAGTTATGTCCCTCGGGTGAGCGTCTAAGCCAGTCTTTCCTAAAGGGTCTATGCCAGGGAGGCTCGGAAAGGTTTTGGCTAGGGACTTGGTCCCCGAGCCCGAAACTATGCCCGTCCGCGCTTGCTCACTACTTAAAATCGTCAAGCCGCCGCTGGACCTTGGCGTTTTTCTTCTCAAGCTGCTTAATGCGTTTGTCCATCTGCTTTTTCACCATCTCAACGATATCACGGGCCATGAGGTCATGCCCCCAAGGCCCTGATCAATAGGGAGCGTTCGTCGCAAGGAATGCTCCATTCTACCTGATTGGCCAAACGGACCCGGTTCTAGAATCATTGGAAGCCGGACGGGCTCTGCGTTCCTTACACGCACACTTGCTCCTTCACCCTGAGATTGAGTGTTCACTATTAGACGATCGCTACCGGGAAAGATGCTCTCATTTCCCACAGACGTCGCCAAATTGCATGAGATAATTCCTGCAATAGTTTAAGACAGTGACCTCCAAGTTGGCAAACCTGAAATAATAGGGTCAGAAAAAAGGGGGCCAGGTGAACACCCAGCTTATCCTTTCTGAAGCTTAAGTCAGTCTAAGGTCGAAAGGTTTAGCTCAATGAACAATCTTTTTCTGGTTCAAGTTTGCGTACCTTTGTCCATTTTTTGAGGAGTATTTATACCTGAATTAATAATGATTGCCAAAGGTCTCCAGTCCCATCTAGACATCTAACATCTGACTCATCATTCCTCGCGCAATGAGTGTTTTCTACTCACGTCTCCTCCTATTAAATGCTAGGACGATGGGGTGAACACTCGACTAAATGCCAAGCATTTATGCCCTTCCCTGAGTACTCAAATCCCTCAGATCGGCATTTGATATCAACGGAGCATTGAATACTCAGTGGAATAGTTCCTCAAGGGGGGGCCCGATCGCGTTGTCTTAGCGCATCAACCATTAATGCTTAGCGATCATGATAGTAGGCCTAAACTCCTAGAGTGAAGGTGCTTGCAAGTGCGCATTTATTTGCCTTGTCACCATCACTCATTCCGCCATAAATGAAGGGTCACGTCGTATTAAATACGATGTCAGCAGTCATACTCGGCTGCTCCGGGTCACCATATCTCGGCTTACCTTCTAAGTGTCCTTTGGACGTCCCAACAACTTCATTACTCCACGTGTTAACCTGGGGGCTGTAGAGCCACCTAGAGTCCCGCCAGAAAGTTACCCAGAAACTTTTTTATCGAGCATACAACAAATGATCCATTGTGATTAAACTTCAAAGTGAGTCATTGTTTACATAGAACAAAAAAGTAATTTAACAGTAAGTAATATGCTACATATTACCAGACCCATTTGGAAAAGAATGGACAGTGTACCTTACTCAAGAAAAAAAGGGGATTGAAATTTTCAAAGACAATGTTTTGAAATTACAAGTTAATCATATCAAGTTACGACTCAAATAAGTTTATTGATGACTTAATTGGTTGACATACCATTGATCAAAAAAACTTGGGATTAATCCCAAGTCTTTAGTATCGATCCCAAGTTTTGAACTTCATTGGATTGTAATTTTGATCTCACTGAATTATAATTTGTTCCTATTGAATCATAATTTTTTTCAACATTTTTCCGGAAGGAATAAAGTAGAAAAGGAGTGGGGAATATTATAGTCTTTGGATTAACAGTAGACTCTATCAAATATTAAAATTTTCTGTTAATCCAACGATTTTAATAAAATTACGTCATTAAGTTAGATTTTTAAATCCAAATAGCGTTACTCTTGTTTTAGGACTACATAGAGATCTCTCTTCAAAATCTAACAAAAATTTTTTTTTGTAAAAATAAAAAAATATTTATGTAGAATAAGGGTGTTGTGGAATTGGACCATTTAAGGATAAAAACAGCTCGCGTTTGACTTGGGCTAGTTTATTATAGGTTCGTTCAGATTACAAATTGACCTGAATTTCATATGATTTTTAAGCTCATTTTTTGAGCAAGTTGAATTAAGTATCGGGTAGTTCAACTCAATTAGATTCCTATATATAAATAATTTTAATTTTATTTTGGAACAACAGTGATCTGAAAGATGATTAACTCTCCAGTTATCACCAACTAGTTTCAAACTATACACACCTCTCTGTTTCTTCTCTCAAATAGATTTATGGCTATTTAAAATTTTAGGTTTTGATTTTATAGGTTATTATATAGATTTGGGGATATTCTTAAAGAGAAATTGACTATTCTAGGATTGAATT